ACAATATCAACTTCTGTCAGCCATATGCTGCTTTTCACAGCAGTGCTGTCACCATTTGGCCCCAGGCAGCACCATGTTCCTGTACCCCTGTTGCTTACGGCCCTGACTTCTCCAAGTGAGCTCATAGAAATCAGCCCATCATCCTGCTCTGTCCCATCCAGCTCTCCACTTCAAACCTTGGTAAAACAGACGATGGGCAGCAGTCACTGCCTCCCTTTCACATCCCTTTTACGTCCCTACTTCTCTCCAATAGTTTGAATGGGAACCTGATAAGTCAAGAAGAAGCCAAAGCTTTTGAAAGTGAAGAACGGATCATTTGCTTCTGAGTGAGGACTTCCCCATTTGGACAAGCTTTGTGTTACAGAAGCTGCCACGCTTGGACTGCAGCGTTACAGAGGCAGTGCTCGTGGCAATGCCTGCTATCCCTAATCCTCTTGGTGAGTGGGAAATTGCCTTGGTAAATAATTAATATCTGTACAGTGCTTTGAAGATGGAACACCAAGTGTTAACAGAGGTAATCCAGGGGCATGTGTGTGCATTTTGACAACTGAGCTCAGATTTATTCTATATACTGCTGTGATTAATCTCTAACTTATTTATCTACATGAATCTACGCACACACGTCTACATGCAAGAAGACACAGGCTCCAAAGCACACAGCACTACTTGCCTCGTAACTGAAAATAATAGTCTGGATGGAAACATAGACTGTCTCAAAAGGCTGCATGGTACCAATGCTTTCAGCATGAATCCTCCCATGCCTAGAAATCAGACCCTCATTTTCCCACTGACTTACAGCAGTTGTAGGCACTGTGTTTTTTTGGAGAAACAGATACATGAGGCTCCAATTACTTTCCATAATCTTTTTTCCATATTGAAGCCAATACATTTTCTTTTATACAGGCAGAAAGCTTCGCTGCCATTTCTGTAAAATCATAACACAGGCAGTAAAACACTTTTGCCTAACATTTCCTGAGGGCTGCACAACAACTGCCACCCCCTGTTCTTACAGTGTTTGTTCTGGGGAGAGGGTCTGGAGATGTATGTGACAAATTAATGAGGGGCTGTGCACTGCCTTGGCTCGTGGCCTGGATGTGGTGCTGGTGGCACTACATCAGTGTTAAGTTGCCTGGCTTCACGGGGAGAAAGAACAACTGAAAACCAATGGTGTCAGGTGGAAATCTCTCAGCAACACATCCACAGAGATTGCTTGGAAACCTTTTATCTGACCCTTGAACTATTGGGAGGCACCATGCAATGGGGATATAGCAATAATAAGACCAGCAAGAAAACATTATCCCCCTCCAAAATAATGAGTGCTCAGAGAGTGTAACTTTAGGAACCTCAAAGGAAGGCAGTTTAAAGAGAAGCAGGCTGTTTGGTTTTTCAGGGTTTTTTTCCCCCGATTCCCTTCATAAAGGGAATCTCAGATTCTACCCCTGATGCACATGAAGAACCAAAAAATGGAGGAACACAGTCCATCCTCTGTCCTTCTTTCACGTTGTCACCTCTAAGAACTTTACAGACCAATGCTCCTGCTGCTGATGTCCCCACAAAACATTGGTGGGCTAGAAGAACCACCTTCCATCAAATTTCCTGCAAAGACAAACACAAAAGGCTCTCTGGGTAGGTGAGAGTTTCTCCTTATCCTGCCTGGAAGCAGACCTTTACCACTCCCCAGCTCCCTAACATATGAAGTGTTATAACACAGTAACACTGCTTTTCACAAAAAGAACAGTTTAAGAAAAAATTATATAGAGAGATATATAAATATATAAATATCCACATGAAAACCAATGTACCAAATATTACTCGTCAGTGGCTTTTCCACCCTGCCTGTGCTGCCAGCACTGGCTACTCAGAGGTAGGCAGGAAGGTGAGGCTCTCAGGCTGTACCAGCTAACAGGAATGGTTTCTGCACCTGAGCCATTTATTTACTGAGAACATGAGAGTCTCTTGGGCTGCAGCAGGTTGAGGCAGCCTCAGAGCTGGCAGATAGAGCAAACAAGCCCACCGTGGCACAGCCCAGAACTGATGATGGTGCCAGGTGCACCCATTCATCTCGGAGCAGATTTCAGGTTGCAAGAGCTTGCTTGGGCCAGTCCCAAGGTCAGGGCACTGCTCAGGCTGCTTTGGCAGGAGCAGCCAAGGCAGGGGACAGCCTCATTCATCAACTTACGGCCAGAGCTAGAAAAGCTAGCAGCTGCTGCAGGCAGGCTGAGTATCCTTGTGAGTTGGCTTGGCATGTGGGGCTGCATTCCCTTCCTTAAAGTCTTACCAGGCTACTTGTAGAGAGCTTCTGATCTTGGCTTCACAGCAAGAGCCATCTGTGCTTAAATTCAGACACAAGTATAACTTCTATTTTTTAAAGACTTGCTTGCTAAGATGTTCTCTGTATGCAGCATTACGTTTTTTCTACTTGTCCTCTGTGACAACAAACAACTTTATAAAGAACCCTAACAGCTTTTTGCAAGATCTTTGGCTTTGCTGACACTGCTGAGCAGCCCCATGGCTGGACTGAGGCAGGAATGAGGCTGTCCAGCTAATTCTGGCTGCCGCAGACAGGGGAGATCTGCCACTCGCTTGACCTTGCACAGGGCCACAGACTTACCAGCTGGTGAAACGGGTCTTAGAAGCCAGCAGTAGTGGCTGAGCACAAAGGAGCCATCTCTTGCTTTGGTAGGTGGGAACAGAATACAGGGACCAAGCTGGGTGAAAACAGCAGCCAGGCTGGGAGCCACACTGAGCACTGAGCCATAGACAGCAGTTCCTGTTGGTTTGTTCAGGGGTCAGAACAGGTGAGGCCTCTCAAACTGTGTTTACGTGGCAGCGTTGCACCATTGCTCCCTGCCAGCCAACGAGCTGTGAAGTTCTGAAGTAACTTACCCTGGGGTATACAGCAAAACTTGAAAGGAGGGTCAGCGTTCTGTAGAAAATAGCAACTGCATTTTAGGGAATGGCCACGTGTGGAGACAGCCCCCAAGCTCGAGCGAGCCCATGGCAAACAATTAAACTGCTGCCTACCATGTGAGTGCCAGAGTTCGGCCCGTGCAGGAGGCAGCGGCTTAATCGGCTGCGATAGCCTTGCCAGGAGGCTGGGAGGCCTCATGCTGGAGCAAATAAAGCCTGCAGGCGTTTGTGCTCCTGCTACCTGCCAGGCAATTTAATCCCGACTCTGGCAGATGTTAATCCTGGCACGGGTGGCTCCTAAAGAGCTTTCCTCTGAACTGGTCACCAGGTGCCCCGGGCAGGGAGTGGGGTGAGGAGGCCTTGCCGCATGGCCCACGGTGGGACTTCCAGTCGGTGCCAAAGCCCACACGCTGTGGGTTTTCCTTCTAACATTCAGAGCCTGCTTACAGAACCAGCCAGGAGGGGAGGGGAGAAGAGCCTCGGTTAAAATTTAAACACTTGTTCAAACAAAGACATCAGTAACCAGGGCAAAAAGGAAAAGCAGGACAGGAGCCTGACACAAAGCATGGCTCTGAGCACAAGGGGCCGAGGCCAGTGAGCACCTGCAGCCCCACCGAGCTCGGCCAAGGGCCCATCCCCATGCTTTTAATATCTGTCTCTATTCTGCTGCCTTTATGAGGAGTGAGTCATCATGCGTCAGCCAACGATGGGCTTTACACAATTATTTATTTATGTTGAACCCTCTTCCCCACCCCCGCACATCCCTGATCTCATCCCCCTCAGAAAACAGATGCTTTATGGAACAAGAGTGGAAAGCTCCATCCCAAAGGCGGCCCGTTGTCACTGCATAAAGGCACAGCTGCCCACCAGGTGGGACAGGGCCAGGCACCTGCACTGGCACGCAGAGCCCTGGACAGAGCATGAAGCTCTCAAAAACCAGGACGGAAGATGTCCCTACCCAGCCCCAGCTACCACAAGAACTCTCCCTGATATATCCCTTGGCCATCAGCCACACGTTCTCCTCCCCTCGCTGCTCAAAGCAGTGCTGCATCAGGAAACAAACACTCAGCTTCTGGTATGGGATGCTGCAGGCAAACAGCCTGCAGCCATGCTGGTGGCCCCAGAGCAGCCCGGTGTCACTGCTGTCCCCAGGGTGAGCAGCCAGGGCAGAGCTGGCACTGTAGGCTGCAGGGAGAATGAGGTGCCAGCAGGGGCCACTGAGTTGGATTTCCCATGTGAAATCCCCTACCTGCTGGAAGGGACTCACTCCAGACTTTCCCAATGCAACACCAAATCCTGCTCTCACTGCTCACATCACTCATAGCAAAGCTCTGATTTCATGGGCCTAAGAGCAGAACACAGGAGTTACTGGTGAGAAAGGAACTCATCCTTCCTAGAAGGCAACAGGAGAAAAAAGTTCCTCTAAGAGAAAGGAACTCATTCCTCAGCACTGACACCCAGCTGTCTCCATGTTAAAACTCATTTCCCAAGGAGAGAAAGCTGCAAGGTGGCAACTGTGTCTTAGCATGCTGCCCCAGGAAACGCAAAGCAGAGGACAACCAGCCCCAGGACATCTGTGCTGAACGCCCTGCTCTGGGAGCAGCCGGGCACCACAAGCAGGTGCTTCCTGTCTGCAGGGTGAACTCGCTGCCTGCACACAACCCCTGGTAGTGCGCTTCGGGTTTGCTCAGAGCAGCCGCAGCCTCTCCCCAGCTAGGTGATGGCAGCGGGGAAAACCAGCATAGCATCGCCTGCACATCCGCAGCTCTTCACCTCTTCAAACCACCGTGCGCTTCCCATCTCGGGTTGGCAGACGGGGCAGCTCTAAATGCTAATCTCAACGGCCATTACGCTCGTAAGGAGCACCAGAGCAGCCAACCACAGCCCAGCCACCTCACACAAAATGGCGTCACCACGGCCGGCAGCCCGGGGCAGGAGTGCTGCTGGCTCCTACCTGCACTCAGCGCCCACTGCTCCTCCAGCCAGGGGAACCCACTGCTCCTCCTTCCTCTGCAGCACAGGCGTGCAGCAGCTGTTGCCACGTTCAGCAGGACTTTACAACAAAAGTCACCTGGAAGTGCGGAGAGAGCTGTGCTTCAAAAGATTTATTACATATATTTGTACATATTTTACATGAATGGAATGTTAACGTACAACCTAAAAATCAATAAAAAAATATTTTCATCCACGATTATGTACTGGCAGACCATCAAAAAGAGTACCTTAGAACAACTGAAGTCAACTTGCAATCATACTGCTCAATTAAAAAAAAAAAAAGAGCACGTGTTACATCAGACATTGCAAATTACATTCTGATTTCTGCTCAGGGTAATGAAGGAAGACATCTTGTCCATTACCACCACATGGCCGTGTGGCATGGCAGGAGCACACAGCTCACCACTGCTCCACAGGCAGGGCTGGGAAGAGGCATAGGAAAGGGGGACATGGGCTGTGCTCCAGCAGCAGGGCGGCCTGCCAAGTGGGAAGAGAGGCAGAGCGAGACTCTCGATGATCAGGTGATAAGGAGAATGCCGGAGCACCACTTGTTCCATGTGATGCCTCAGCTTTTAAAATTAAGTAGTTCAGTAAAACATCCCCCTACAGCTAAGCCTCCTTTCTTCCTTGAAGGTTGTAGTACTTTGGCAATACCAGCTAAAAGAGAATTTCGGACTCTATGGTAGCGAATGCTTCAGCATCACACACACAGGAAGAACACAAAATCATGCTTTGCTGTCTCCTCCTGTTAGCATTTCACATCTTGGGAGCTTGTGACCAGTTATGTTGAACAAAATTTACATTTACGCATAACAAATCAGCAATGAAAAGGACAGATCTGAGTGAGAACAAGAAGAATGGAATTCGGCAACAGATTACGTACTTGTAGCATTGGATTACTTACATTTGAGACTGCCAGAATGGAGCAAATCCTACTTAACCATTGCAAAATCTTTGCCAAAGCACACCCAGGGTCAAAAGTCTCTCAAACAAACATAAATAGCTTAAAAGCTGCCAGGAAGATCAGCAAATAGTGGCCCTGCTTCCTCCTAGTTACTGTACGCTGGCAGCTTATTATAGCAAAGCCAGAACCAAGTCCACTCTTCTGCTGGTGCTGCATGTTGCTGCGATGGTTTATCCGAGCGAGTCTTCAGCAAACCATGCCACCATGAGGTCATTGTACAGCTCGCCCTGCCATCAGCTCTGAGTACACAAGTACAAGGTTACTTCACAGAGCACTGTGCAGAACCTTGGGAAGCCAGCAGACCACGTAGCACAGCACTCACAAGAGAACCAACTGCAACTTGAGGCAAGCTGAAACTCAAAACACTGTGGTTTTGTTTCCCCCCCAGTGAGCTAAAATGTCTTCAACCTGAATTCAGCATCATGTTAATTTATGCTGAAGAAACGTCACAGAAGTTTATATTTAGGAAACAAATACTGGACACTGTTCTCTTGAGAATTTCTCTGTTATTTTCAGTGCCAAAAAGTGGGACAAGCTGATGATGCTGCTACAGAAAAAAGCATGTTTGATTGGGCTGTAGCAAAACCTGTAACAAGTCCTTCTCTTCTAAAGAGCCTCCTCCTCCACTGTTCTTGCAGATGTCAATGGAAAGCATTTCCAAAGACTGAGGGGATATGGTCCTAAGATGTAGCATGTCTTCCTTCAGCTAGGAAAAAGAGAAATGCATACTAAAATGACTTTTAAGCTTGGAGGAGTGGAATGTGAATCTCAAGATACAGCATTCTTCAAAAATGAGACAATCTTCCATGGCACAGGTGAGCTGGAAGATCCCATAGCAGCATGTCCACATTGCCAGGTATGCAGTATTCTCTTGGTAGGATCGCAGCTGCACATGCAAATTCAGCAGATACAAGACTGCAATACCAAATCTGCAATACCAAATCTGCACATAAATATTCTCTTTCCATGTGACAAAGCAGCAACATTCACAAAGATGACATGGCCTTCATCACAACCAGCATGAGCTTTGTTGCTGTTTACTACTTAGAGATAAGTAATAGTGCCAAGTTCCCTGGGTTTGGGTTGAACACAAGAAATGCAGCAAATTTCTGAAGCCCTTAAATGGAAAAGGCCATAAACACATCTCAGCTATTAGACACTAGCCATCCATAAACAGCAACACAAAGATCCATGGTTCTGAAAAAAGAAGAAAAAGATATTTTCCACATTTGCTGACATTTTAGTCTGCTGGAAGTCCCCAGACTCTCAGCAAAGACTTAATTAAAAAGCCAGTGCTGCTTCTAGTGTTAGGAGCTAGGATTAATACATAAATCTGGAAACTAAGCTGTAAAACCTCATTTACATCATAAAGGGGGAGAAGAAGGGGAAGAAACAGGTCACAAGAATCCACCCACACCTTCGTACCTTACCTACATTTTCCACTTCAATATACTGCAGTACACTTACCCTTGAATATGAAAATTAAATTGATTACAAGTAAGACGATGTTTTACGCTTTATTCTTCCAGAATAAACCACAAATCTGTGGTGGGCTTCAAGTTTTTCTTTTCCCTCCCCCATCACTGAACTCACAATGTCTGAAGTACATGTTGAAAGAAAATTCACTTAACTACTTCCTAAAGAAAATGGCATTAGGGAGATACAGATTTAAAAGAGACAACCAGTGCCCCGTGCTGACAGTAGCGTGGCTCTCTTGGCATTGTATAGAGGACAGCTGCACACAGCTCAAATCATAGCCTCCTCCACTAAGAGCTTCGGAACACAAATTGCTACTCAACACACGTAGGTATGTTACAAGCTCAAAAAACCTCACATTTCAGGACAGCGTCGAGTCTATTCTTCCCCTCTGGCAAGCAGCATGTCAGCATGTTTATGGCAGACCTGAGTGTGGGAATTATTTCATACCCTTACTTACTTAGGGAAGATATAGGTCAGATGACTCAAATACTCTGAAACAGCACAGACTTGGCAATTTTAATATATTTACAGGCAAAGAAGCATATCGCACCAAAATAGAAGTTATTGCTTCTTGTGGACAAGTGCGGTATTCCTTGATTGAGACACAAGACTTGTTTGATGTTCATTTTTCCCTCCTGAAGCACAACGATTCAGGACCACTGTGAGGTTGTTGTTAAAATGAAGGTGTTGCCTACAATGAGCATCTCCAACTGACTGACACAGCTGGTGAGAGAACACTTACAAAGGTGAATTTCCACAGGCATTTTCAGAGTCAAACATCGATCTCATGCTTCCACGTCATTCTTGGCTTGGTCTATATTACACATTTTGATAGAAGAAAACCTTTCATAGGCTTTCAGAAGATATTTACAGATACCAAGAATGCAAAACCAGCATCTAAGGTTGCCCCCCGTATCAGTTCCTCAAACAATATGAAGTAGTGCAGCTCTACTGTGCTGATGGAAGCAGGAGCAGACTCCTTCCCAGCAAAACCACGCTAGTGGCATGCTTTTCAAACACTGACCCTCAGCACAGGACAGCAGTTCTAACTATTGGGTCTTTAAGCAATCTATTTGCATCTGAAAGCAGAAAATACAGGTGCTCAAAATGGCAATAAATGAACTAGAGGTACGAACTACCAAAATCAAGCTTAAGTTGTAAACAAATTTATGTTTAGAATATCTATCTACTTAATTCCCAAGCCAAAGACCATCTACGACCTTGGAGCACAGAACACCCAAACACTAACCTACCCGCGGTACACATCACGTTTCTGCAGGCATGAAGCCAGCAGCAAACACCAAATCAATGCAAATGCAACATCTTCAACTTCAGAAGACAGTAGGAATTTAGAACACTGGAAAAGTGGGCCTGCAGGCAACACCACTGTGAGTGTTACAGGTGCTGTAATTCTTCCTACTCCCCACCCCCTGTGACAATACAAGGCAACACAACATTTCTTGGCTAAAAAGGAAATCGTGCAGGGAACTACTGTACATGTGATATGACTTCAGAATTAAAGCGTGACAAAATGGTTCTGCTTCCACTGAAAAAGAGAACACAGCAGGGCCCCACAGTTACAGGTTCAGCTGAAACTGGTGATGGAAGCCCAAAAACGTAGAAACAGCATCATCAACTAAGAAAACAATCTAGTTTGGACTCTTTTTCTTTCTTTCTGCAGCATAATAATGGCATTTTACAGTGCAAAATTCAGGGAAAACTGTTACCCAGGAAATAATTGCTCTGCAAGCAAGACATGGGAGTCTACTAACATGTACTGCACTTGTTCTCCCATATAGCAGCTCCTGTCCTTTGCCCTTTTTGATATGAATCACAGTAACAACAGAAACATGTATGAAACAAAAACCAAAAGAGCAGAATTATGTATGTACAAGAAAAAAGTTTGAACTGTGCAGTTTATTTTCACTATTGAAACCCACTAAAACTGCTGTCACAAATAAATATTCATGAACTCTTCCCTGCACTGTGAAATTCAGATACTGCTATGATTGATTCTGGATATAAAAGTTATCCTTCTAAGCCCTGATATCTCTTCCAGTTTGTCTTTTTTTTTTTTCCTTCCCCTTTCTCTTTTTGGAACTGCAATACTTTATGGAAACTAATACTCATCCACAAGTTTTCCTTGGTGTGCCCCCTGCAGACAGCTGGTGATCCACGGAGCCTTGGTTATACCAGTATAATACAGTAAAATAATAATAAATTAAACAACTGCAGGTGCCTTTTTAAAAAAGAAAACAAACCACACTGTCAAATGTCAGCCTCCACATGAAGAGACCAATTATTTAGATTGCAAAGTACTACAAATCCTGCCATCAAATAAAAAAAACATTCAAACAAGGAAACAAAGAAAAACTTGCACATTAAAAACTGTGTTTTAAAAGCTAAACACAAATCCCACCTGGATGTTATCTCACCCATGCTCACTAACAAAAACCCTCTTGCTGTGCCCACATTTGCAGTTATTCATTTCCACCTCAGGAGGCAGCCTGGAGATGAGAGTAGTACAATAAAATAATTACCTGAAACATTTTTAAAAAAATACCCGTTAAACAAATTACCTTAACTGGCAGCACTTAAAATTGGTAATTCTCCTTTTTTTTTTCCTACTAAAAAAAAGTTGCATAGCTGTAAGATTTTGCTTTGCTGCTTTTTTTGTTTGTTGGTTTTTACTCACAAGCAGTGTAAGAGAAGTTTTAGTTACTGCAATAGCAATACAATGTGCAGATTTCAACAATTCCTATAGCTTGGATCAATATAAATTAGTTACCTGTCTCAGATTTACTCTTTGGACTGCATTGTGACAAAGGTTTAATTAGAAAATTTTGACGTATTCCTGTGCAGAGAAGTTTATGTTTTCTGTTCTTGTAAAAGTGAAGAACATAAAATAGGGTGTGAATTCAGGAAATAAGGTCACGCTGTTAGATTACACTTAAATTTGCCATTTACTCTTCTTCAGCCAACAAGAAGGTGAACATGTTCCCACTCAAAAATGGGGCCACCCTCCTGCAAGGGTCTCAGACAGCACGTATCGAACGTCTCAGCTTCCACTTGAAGCAGCAGGAAACGTGTCCAATAACCTGCTTCTTCACAGAACCAGAAGTTAGGCTGAAATTAGGAACTTTGGCCTTCCATACAAAATAGTGTCAATAGCGTCTGTTAGGGGGAGTAGATTGTTACAGAGTGTGCAGCATTTTCAAAATCCCTGTGTGTCCTTTGCATGAGTGTTTGGTATACTGAGCACTACTGGCAAGTAAGTGGTGTCCACAATGCTTTTTCCATGTCAATGTCCATCTTTGCCTTTTTCAGCCACAAAGAACAGTTACTCTCAGGCCAGGCACGCTGTGTTCAGCAAGGGAACCTCAGATCTCCTATGTTTTCTGACCAGTGGAAGCAGCTGTTAAGAAAGCAGAAGGCAAAGTATCAGCATTTCAGCTACTTAAGTATCTAACACACAGAAACATCACGAACACGAGCACTTTCATTTCCCCTTTTCCCTTGGCCCTCAATTATCACCATCACCACTGTGAGGAAAAAAAGAAAGCAAATTGGGTTTAACACAAGGTTAGACACGAGCGTTTACAGACACAAATGTGTTCACAGACAGCACGTGGATTTCTTCCACAATTCAGTTGTTGGGGGCAATTCAGAACATGGGTTGCTTTGTTTAGTAATTCTAGCTCATACCACCCTGCCTTTTAAACGATCATCCCTATAACAGGACACCCTCCCTCAGGTTTTCTCTGCTACCATTCAGCGATCCAAGCCAAGCGAAACAAATGAACGCCAGCGGTGATGTCTTCAGATTATGACGATGATTCTCACCTTTAGCAAAGCAACCATTTTTGGAATCAATTTTCACCTACTGATCAGAATTTCAGTTACAGTGTGGAATACTGGTAGCCAAACATCATAAACCATGACACCATTCCTTTAAGAGAGCTGGTGTTTTGCAATGCTTGGGAGCAGTAGCTCAGTGCGAGGCAAAGATTTAGAACTAGCCAACTAAAGGAATAAACTTATTCTTTAAGCCTTTGACACTGACTGCAGATCTGAAATAACAACAGCTATAAGCTGGAAATAATGAATCTCTGTGGGATAGGATGGGTAGAAATGTTAATTTTTATTTTTTTTTTTAACATTCTGGAACACTTTAAGACGAAAGTGATTTTGAAAATACCTAATTTCAACTTTTTTTAATGATTCCAAAAGCTTTCTTTCAGAAATGCATGCCGTGGAACAGTCCAAAATTACACGGTTATGCTATTTTGATCTTGTTTCATTTCCATGGAAAAAATACTCTTTAAAAGTTAATGCTAAAGCTTTACTGGCACTGACTTGCCACTTTCCAGCACTAAAACTGGAATACATCATTTCAGACCACACCATAAAAGGATGCAAAACCCTTTTATATATTGTAATATACGTCACTGCTCACTGATTAATATTGCAGTTCTGAGACACATTAGCAAATTCACAGGTTATGAAACAGCATCAAGAGTAATTTCAGATAATCAATTGTAATATTGTTAGAATGTATGTATCTAAAAATAAATATTACCTAAGAACACGAATCTTCCCTTAATCTGATGGATGCTCAGGGCAAGATCTATTGACTTCAAACCATTCATCTATGCAGCTGTCGGATGGAAGACAAAAATGAAAGCAATTAACATGAATATCCCAGTAATTCCCAGTAAGGAATGCATATTAACTGGTTTCTCATGATTTCCATGTGCAGTGGGATTTTACATTAACAAAGAAAAACACGTATATACACACATGCCTGTCCACACCCTACATCTTTATATGTTCACAAACAAAAAAAATGTTAAAATCTGCTAGGAAAGCCTTTCACAAATTGTTAGCCAGCTTTCGTACACAGGTGACTTTACTACTAACACTACCATCTCGTTACACCAGGCACTGACATCGTACATACCGTAATTACAGGCAGTAGTGAAAACTATTATGAAACAGTTTTAAAAAGCACTCCCTCTTAAGCCTAATGGCATTAGACAAGGCTGTTATTACAAAAGTATCTGCAATCCAAGCTCGATAGCTGTGATGTCCACTTCTGCAGAAGTGATTTTGGCCTTTTTTTCATGTAAGTGGGAGAAGCTAATTGGGGAAAAATGCAGACAGAAGTCACTTAAAGATCACCTTTAGTGTGGTTACTGCCTGGCTTTTGTTTGTGTGAAGTGCAAAAAGCAACCAAGTTTTAGTGAAGTTACTCTACAAATGCAACTTTCAGGACTTCTGGGTATGCACCATAAGGAATACTTGCCCTTTATGATATATGCAGAGGCAAGGCAGCCGTGCTATAGTATCTCCCTGCTGCAGCTCTTCCAGGCATATTGCACACTCCCCAGTATCTTTACTCAGCACGTCCTCTGAAGAAAGAGAACAAAGTTGAACAGTCAAAAAGCAGGCTACCACAAAGCAAAACATTCTCTGTTCAGAACATCAAGGGCAGCTACAGAAGATAGTTCTTGTCCTGCAGAAGGAGCCGTCAAGGTGAGTTTGGGTCATGCATGCCATATGACAGAAGATTCCTGATGAGAGACATCTCAACAGCTCAAACTAAAATATGATTATGGTTCAGTATCTCGCTTGAACACAGCCACAGCTCAAAATGAAGCCCTGCAGGAAGACAACCACACAGAGGGGATGGGTAGCCACAGTCAGCAGTCAGTAATCCTTGGGGGCTTATACACTCCCAGCAGATGGACATCCCACCACAGACTGCTCTGATCCAACTTGGGAAACCTGAGCTCTGAGGCAGGCAGCTGCTACATATGCAAGCTGTGCTGCTGACCCCAGGAGCTTAACACTGGGAAAAGTTGGTACATCATCCAGATGGCAACTACTGACTCCTGGACTTTGAGGCTTCATTCTGGGGGGGTTTGCTTAGCCAGCCCCTCCTCCCCACATTCAGCTGTCTTGATGGAGGCTAAGTCCAAGCCTGAAGATAATATTTCTCCAGACAAGACACTGCAATTAATTAACTATTATCTTCCTCCTTCTAAACACTTGGCCTATCATTTGCTTTCTTCTGCTCTCCTACTCATTTCTCTTCTATACATCTGCCTTTCTCTAATTTTAGCAAGCCACTCCAGGACTTGTATTCCATACCTTCGACCTGAAGGTTCTAAATTCCTGGAATCACTTTTTTTTTTTGCATCATTACCAAATCCCATAAGAACTCAGGAGACAGTATGTTACTGAGAACGCATAAGAATTGGCTTTCAAATAGAAGTTTCTGGGAAAATGCATTATTTTTAATAAAAACCTTCTCTCTTGGACACTGCTCTTAGCCAGAATATAGGACGCAGAATTCAGTCTTGGCACAATACAAAGCAGGAGATGACAGAAGGCCCCGTTTACCAGAAGCAGGTTAGAAGCAACCTCACACAGTGCACAGCTATCAGAAAAGGACCACGCAGCAACCAGCAATCCCTGGCAGGTCAGAAAGGTGCACACTTGGCTGAAGTAGAGACCACGTGTTCAAATTTCTGCAGCTTAACCAGAAGGAGCCTAAAGGGATTCTTTATGAGGATTGCGATTTCCTGACTGAGAAACCATCAGTTCTAAGCTATGCTCTCAGGTGTCTCCTGTACTCATCACTATAGCATTCCAAACACACAAAATGACAAGCATACAACTAAAAAGCCATCACTGTGGGAATAAGTAAGAGGTATGAAATCAGATCAACTGTGTTTCTCTAGGAATTGTAGCAATTTACCTTACAGGTGCTTGGGTTTCTAGAAGAGTACTCATTCCACGCTAATCTTCATTGGTTACGCTTGAAAATACTGCGTGATGCCACGTGCCTTCATGGGCATCTTCATGGGGATATGTGAAATATCTCTAAGGAACTAATCAACCGTACACACACTACAGTGAAGAAAACTAAAACAAAAATGTATTTCACAAATGGTAATATAATTTGTAGGCATCACTTTAAGAAATTGCTTCGGTTTTTGTAAGTATTACAAGACATACGGATTCAAGAACTGAAGAAGGAAAGCCATCTAAGACAATGCAAAAGCTCTTAAAAATTCATCTGTTGTTAGAGAATCCCAACCTGCCCAGAAGAGCTCCCTCTTAACAAATCCTTCCTTGACCATTATACTGTATGAGGACATATTTTAATATCTGACACCGGGAGACAAAGACTGTAGAGACAGCCCAGTCCTGTTACAACAGAGATACGAATCTCCACCTGACGCTCTCAGGCTCTATCTTAGAACACCTGTTTGCACAAATACTCAGCCAAAAGTCCTACCAGCAGATCCACTCTTCCCACAGCTGGGTCACTGGAAGAAGGGCCATTAATGCTGCAAGCATATATCATACACACACTTAATAAAAGTCAAGTTCCCAAAGTTATTTTTAATCAGATTAGCAACTGGTACCCAAAACAAAATGGCACTGAGGTTCCTTCAGTGGATTAATTCCCAGGCTCCCTTCCCCAGCACAATCAAGAAGGAAGCATTTAGTCAAGCCTTGATGACAAGAATTAAAATGCTGTTCAGTAAAATATAAGAAAACATTTCTGCGAACTGCTTTCACATTAGTCCCTACTGTACACGATCTGGCTTGTCACATGTTCCACACACAGACTTCACAACACACGGCTCAGAACTCCTGCTGAGTGTTTTAACACGACTTTGCAGCTTTTAGCTAACAGCAGGGCGAGATGCCAGTTTAAACATCTTTATCTCCCACCAGCCCTGCTGTGTTTGAGACCCTCCTTGTCTCCTCCAGGGCTCCCATAATCTCTCTCCCCAGGTGCTGTTGCTCTCCTTCTAGCCAATACCAGTCCTACCAACCAAGCCCCAGTCCCTGCCTTCAGCCAGGGCTTTCCCCCTGGAATGCAATGGTCAGGGCAGGCCATACTTGGCCCAGCCATGCCATGAGCAGTTGCTGTGAAGGCTGACACGATTGCAGAATGTGGCCTTGGGAACACAGAAAAGATTCTGTGAGCAGGATTCAATACTTTCATTCCTCTGAAACGACACAGTTAGCACTTTGCACTTCTTCCATTACCTTGTGACAGCTAACAGGCTCTCATGCAAGAGGAAAGATAAGTACTGAAGAAACTTAATACCTAACTGTTATAAATGCCCAAGCACAATTTGGTACTGCTCACCAAAAGCAAAGAAGAGAGGATGTAACATAAGGGAAAAAAAGAAAAGACCACTATTGAGATTTCAACAATACTGTATTTATAACGTTCTTATCAGTGTATTACCTCAATGGAAGTGGGAAGCGGAAATAAGCAGAGGCCACACTTTTCCATTTCGCCCACACGTGCATACACACACAGACACTCACCACACGCCCACATCCATCTGCCTTGCACCAAACAGAAGGTAAACACTCCTCCACCTTCCAGCCATTGCAACAAGCACTTACTGGCTGAAGACTGGTGTAAAGATGAACTCTGGCAGAAGAGCAAAGTATTTTCCTCCTGTGTCTGCACAAATACTTTTCCTCCTCTATCCCTGCTTAACACTACTAATATTTTAACTTCTGGACGTCTGTAGTTTTTTTCCTCCTAGAATCCTGCTTCAGTCTCTACTGAAAAATATACTGTATTTCATTTGTGCATTTGTAGCAAGATAAGTGGTAATGAAATAAAACGCAATCATCCTGGCAGTGTCGCATATCAACTTGATTTAATACATTTTCTGGAACTTTTTAGAAATATACACAATAACTATCAGCTGCCAACTCAGCCATGGCTAAAGTTACAGGTAATGCCTGTGAAGAAACAGCCTGCCTTTAAACTGAGGACTGTGAAAGTGCATACAACACATACCCTATGGATGAAGTCATTACAATCTGTGTTCCTGCTATTGTTTTCAAATACAGAGACTCAGGAAATAATGTAGCAAATCACAAAGGCTGCATTTGGATAACTATCACCTTAGAGCTGCAGGATTTCATTGCTCTCTAGGCATCCTGAGCAACACAAATCAGAAAGATCTTCCATTTAATCCCATGTGACTTTCAAATACAGACTTTTTTTTCTAAGACTTACAAACTGAAATTTCCATGGAAGTTGCCACTGCAGCTAGCTCACCAGTGAAGAAGACACTGAAGTGCATTCTACCATGAATATCACTAAAACTTTTTGAAATACACCTTCTGAACAGTAACTTATCAGCATGAAAACTGGCAAAACAAGAGCCTTAAGTTGAAAAACACTGATCAAATTAAGTAGTACACGTTACCATGTGTGTGTTATATATTCATTCATTTTCATTACTGATTACTTAGTTAAGTACTAAATATTTATTTTTTATAAAGGTATACATCAATTAGATGTATATGCTTTTATATATATATAATTTATATTAGATGTATATGCTTTAGATGACTGGAATCAATCTTTTTCACTTGTTTTGCCCAAAATACTTTACCCTGCTTTTTCTTTATGCAGGGCATGTTTCTTTGAGGCAGCTCAGGAACTCTTTACAACTTCATATTGGCTGCAAACAAAAGCCTTCTCTCCTAGTCCATCCCCAGCACTGTTAAAGCCAGATGTTTCTTTGACTTGCTCCCTGTACTTCGATACTGCGGTGGGACAAGAGGAACAGCCCTGATTCAGCATTCTGCACTAGGGATCGTTCTTGGATGACCAGATCAGTCCCCTTCTGCTGGCCAAAAACTGAGGCAGAAGAACAGCTGATTCGTACAGCTCAGCAGGCCCTCGATGATCATGCAGTTGCCACTGCAGAAGATGCTGATTTTGTCTCTCCCAGCTTTCCAAGCTACAGGGTCCACCAGCACATTTAGTGAGGCACAGCTGAAGCTGTTGGCGTGGCTCACCTATGAAGCCTGCTCTTTGCAGCCATAAGGTACAGTCTGCATTGCCTTCAGCAAGAAACACGTCTTCAGAAGAAATGCTGGGTTCCTGAGCAGAAACACTTCTTACACATCTAATACAAACAACTCCCTGTAGCTCAGAGGAAAAGGCATGATTTTTGAAGATCAGTGCCTCTCCTAGAGCCTCGGCTGAGTCATTTTCAGGATTCACCAGCACTACAAAGAGTAGCACATGGAAATTCAGAATCCAGCTTTTCTGAATAACTTGAATTAAGCTGCTTCTTATTCCACTAAATAATAATAATAATATCCCCGCGCTACTGAACTACATAAACACTGCCACTTTCCATCTATTTCCAACAAACACAACCTCAAATACCACTGCACTACTTGCCAATTTGGAAAAACCTTCTGTACTACAATGCACACAAAAAATAACCTCTCTAAAGACAGCTACAGAAAATGTGGTATTACCTCGAGTACCAACAACATGTTTGGTGGACCTGGGAGCAGGGAGATGTTTGGCATCTCTCTCTTCACTGCTAGCAACGTGGCA